TGAAATTACCTGCCACTGAAAAACGTCACTCCTTTCATACTTCCTTCTACGGAAGATGATTAGGGCCACTGGAAAAAAAAAATTGGGGACATCTTTCTTTTTTATAATTTCCCAGAATTCTAACTTCAACCTGACCTTTTTCTCAGAATTCTGGAGAGCAAAAAAAAAAATGCCCTCACTTTTTTCCTCCCCAGTGGCCCTAATCCTCTTCCGTACATTTCCTCCTCCTCTGCAGCAATAGCTAGATTCTGAAGTGCCGCAAACACAACACCTGCACTCCGTCCAGACCACTTTAACTCCTGAGTATAAAAGCTAGAGCTGAACCTAAAGTAACAAGCCTGTTTTGAAAATGTAAGGAGTTGAAAATACCAACGTTTGTTTAAAAATGCAGGAAGTAAAAGCAAAATGTTGTCCGAAAAACAACTACTCAGGCAAAGACACATGAAAATTGTACTTAAGTACAGTCTTCGTTACTTCCCACCTCTGCTGACACGACAGTAATTGAACCGCCAGCCTTTTGATTAGTGGATGACTCACTACACCTCCTCAACCTCAGTCACCCAGGATTAAAACCTAAAACCAGTTTTACTCATATAGTAATAGGATTCAAGTTTCAATCAGTGATGCCTCCAGAATTTATTTTATTTATTATTTTTTATAGGAGTGGTCATATTTGGGTCACTAAAAATATTGGGGTGGCACACCAAATAAACTAAAAGGAATAAATAAATAAAATTTTCCATTTTTATTATGCTGTTGTCAAAATATAGGTTACTTGGAAAATATGGCAAAAGAGAGAAAGAGAAAAGACTTATTTGCCTAGTTAATTCCAGCTATTAAAGTTCACTGAAAGTAGGTACATATGAAAACCAAATAAGATTTTGAAATCCATAATAATCTATTTTAACCCTTTAAGACCTACCATAGAACCAAGTCCGCCAGAGCTTATCTTTACATTTTTACATGCTATAGTCCCATTTTTGAGAGCATTTCAAGTTGCTATACATCAATACAACCGTTATAGCCCAAACTGTAATATATGCAGTGTTGGGAAGGTTACTTTTAAAATGTATTCCATTACAGATTACAGAATACATGCCCCAAAATGTATTTTGTAACGTATTCCGTTACGTTACTCAATGAGAGTAACGTATTCTGAATACTTTGGATTACTTAATATATTATCATGCTGTTTATAACTACGTGAATGTACTATTGCTGTGATTTATTACTGTTACTGAAGGTTCGTGGCTCCGAACTGTAGTAAAGGGACCTCTGGCTAATACGTCGGGTTCCGTGTCGGGCTGGTAGCCGAAAACTAGCTTTACTTTGTTGTCTGGGTCAACTTTGCTTGCGAGAGACAGAGAGAGGCGTTGAAAGGCTGCTCCAACGGAACTTATTGTTTCGGAGGAAAACACAAACACAGTGTACAGTCAAGTCTGAATAGCTTACGACTGGGCTCGTCAGGCACTCTTCTTGGCTGCAGTGGTTATTATTATATTTACATGCTTCCAGCTCCTGTTTTTCCTCGATGACAACTCGTACTTTTCCTTTTTCTCCCTCCCTCGCTCACAGACACATAACGTGTATGGCAGTCCATTCTCCCTGCAGCACAGACTACACTGCCTATGATGCTACATTCTTTAGAGCTATACCTGTAGCATTCTGCCTATTAGCTTAGCACAACAACAACAACAAAAAGGCGCTCTCTCACCCAGGAAACACAGAGAGAGAGAGAGAGGGCGTCACACTGTAACCATGGCAACCGTAACGCTGCCACCTGGAACAACATAATGGCGCTGTCAAACAAAACCCAAACAGTCCTTACCCGCCATAATATGAAACAGGGAAGTACCACCGTGTAATCAATTTATTTTAACAAAGTAACTGTATTCTAAATACCACCTTTTTAAACGGTAACTGTAACGGAATACAGTTACTCATATTTTGTATTTTAAATACGTAACGGCGGTACATGTATTCCGTTACTCCCCAACACTGAATGTATGTATGCATTAAGTCCATAGTAACTACATAAATTGCAAATAAGTGCAATAAACTACAAAGAAAATGAAAATTGTTTGTGGGCTTTTGTTTTGTTTTTTGTTTTGTTTTTGTTTTTTTACATAAATTTCTAGTTTAAGAGGTTTATCCCTCAAAAATAAAATACAAAAAAGTTGCACAAAATAGTTTCCAACAACAGGAAATATATTTTGAGTGTCTTCATAGTTTTATTTTTGAGATACACCAATTTTTATATACTGCAGGAAAAACTAAAATAAATATTATAATCCAAATTTGCAAAAAAACCCCAGCATGTGCATCAAAATAAACTATTTCCAGCAGTGCAATTTGAGTTCTAAGCATCCCAGAAACTATACAGAAAAGGATAGAGTCAAACATGACTTTTAAAAAACACCCATATAGGCTTATAATATGGCCCCGTAATGGCGGACATGCGATAGTTTGTGCTGACGTCTATTCCAACGTAGGAAGTGTTTTGAACAGCTGATCGGTTCGGCAAAGCGTGTTTCTGGAATATGTTTTTGATGCTGCAAGTGCTTTTAATGCAATTTTTGCAAAGCCATATGTGTAAGGAAACCGTGACCTAGGTCAAGCTGATGGCATAAGATGTAAGTACAACTCCTCCGGTTTCATATGCAAAAAAAATGATTGCGCTAGCTTACGTGGTTCCAGTTCTACAGGGATTTAAAAATAGTTACAAAAAAAAGAGCGTGCCCTCTCCGACCGGTTTTAAAGGGTTAAGCAGTAATAAATAACAAGTTAGTGTTTCATTGTAGGGTGTTTTTTACTCTCTCTTGTGGCCACGTTTATTAGAATTATTACTGACATAGGACAATCTTCCCAGGGGGGCCCACTGGAGGGGCCAGCAAATTTTAGGGGGTGGCCAGTGCCCCCCCAGTGCCCCCCCTTGGTGGCGCCCCTGGTTTCAATAACAACTGTCCCTCTTTGCAACTGTTTATGTTCCAAGTGATCTGAGTCGATCCAAAAGTGTGAAAGTATTTTTTTGGGGAGTTTGTTTTGTTTTTTACATATTTGTCACACTTACATGTTTCAAATCATCAAACAAACTTTAACATTAGACGAAAACCCTGATGAAACCTACCTGGCCCATTGTGGAAAATTAATGGCACTATCCAAAAAGACAATCGCGGGGTCTCTCCAAATTTAAATTAGGTATGGTTTTTAATTTTTAGGTGCAGTTTTAATTACAAATGATTGGTGCATTTAATTTTATATTTTTGAGTCAAACATATGGAAGTGAAACTGGTTTTATGCATATATCTGTTAGGATGCCTGGGTCGTCGACCCAGGGTTTTTGAGTTTATAATATTATGTATACTTCCTAGTTTTTGGTTTCTTTGAGTTCTGTTTTATGGCTTAGGTCTCTGTCTTCTTTAGTTGCTCTGTCTCCCCTATCACCTGCATCCCCTTGTCTAGTTTGCGTCTATGTGTATCTTTAGTTCCTATATCCCCGTGTTCAGTCAGTGTTTGTGTCTGCCCTGTTCCCACGTCTCTGTTCCCTTTGTTTTAGTGCCTGCCCGTGAGTCTGTGTTATGTTTCCTGTTTTACTTTGAAAGTCCATGTCTGTTGTTAATGTGTCTGGTTTTGCTTCCCCCCCTTGTCTCGTTAGGCCTGATTTGCCCCAGCTGTGTTTCCCTCCTGTTACCCATTCCCTGATTGCTCCCTCTGTGTATTTAAGCCCTGTGTTTCTTGGTGTCTGTGTTGCGATCTACCGTTTACTTTGCTGTGTGTTTTGCCTGTCCACCGGTGTAAGTTTATTTTGAGTTTTTTCCAGTTATGTCATGTTTGCGTTCAGCATTAAAGCTGTTTTTGTTTAAGTTCTGTCTCCGGAGTCTGCACCTTGGGTCCTATTCCTGCCTGCACACAGCCACACCTAACATATATCCACAATCTCTAAATGAATAGGTGCAGGATTTGAGACTTTTCAGCAATGTACAAATCTTTCTCAGGTAAATAAAGACTAGAAATGGGAATTTTGACTTTGATATTGACTGACTACGAACAGACAGCTAACATACTGTAAACAGACCTGATCTGAACCATTTCAGTGTTTGTAGTTCACCCTGTGAGGTCTAAGCCATTCATGATGAGCTCAAATCTGGACTAAATGTCATGTTTTGGACATAAGAAAAAGACTTTACTGGGAAAAATGTAAATACTTTGTGAAGTGTCTGTTTGATTGTTATTGTTGTTATTACCCCCACCACCACCACCACTCTCTCTCTCTCTCTGTGACCCTGCGGTGGAAATCACTGCATGAACTCAGGAACACTGTCAGTAAACACAGTTTGTTGAATCTCGATATGCAAGTGTGTGTTGCTACAAAGTCTCTCCATCAGAGAATCTGTTGCTTATCTCAGCAAAACAATGCCAAACAGAGAGTGCTAAAGTGGCCTCTTTGGAATTCACACTTTGCTGCATTATAAAATGAAAAATTCAACAAAGGAGGCCTCAACAGTGGAACAACTGAAACTCTATTTCAAGCAAAGATGGGAAAAACAGCCTAATAACTACAGCTATTAGTCTCCTCAGTTCCCAAACACAGAGTGTTAAAGAAGGGGTGATGCAACACAGTGCTATATGTGCCCTGTCTCAGCTTCTTGAAAATGTGTTGCTGTCACCAAACTCAAAATAAGATCTAGACCTTTTAAAAAGAAAAGGTCTCTGTTTCAGCATTCGGTATCTTTTCTTTGTACTAGTTTCAATTAGTTACTGGCATAAATACATTTTGCAAATAATTACTTTCTACATAGTGTACCAACTCTTTTTGGTGGTGATAAGGATTGGGGTATTATGTTATAGTAAATCTGATCACTAGGACCCTTGGGTAAAATTTCAAGACAGACAAAATACCTCAAATAAAAAGTGCAGCACACTTAACATTGCCATGGACAATCCTCTTATTAGCAAAATTAGCAAATAAAATAAATTATCCGTTCCTAACTGAAACTTACCTTGTAAAGCTTTCTTTTTCATTTTCATTTTCTTTTTCTCTAAGTCAGTTTTTTGCATTTGGTTTGTCAGACAATCGCTTGGCATGCTGTTGTGGACTTGCTACTGGTTCTACAACAGATAAAACATCCAAGTTAAATTTAAGGAAACTGAAGTAAATGCACAGGTAAGAATTATTACAGTTGAATTATCACCATTATACTTACTCTGTCTCTGTTATGCTTCTGTTTGTTTGCTGGAAAAAACCAAGACAGTTCTGTACAAATGTAAGGCAGATATAGCAGAAGGAATAGCTGCAGTCTGCAGGACAGAGGCCAGTGCACACATCCATACACATCTGGCAGCAGATGTCACAGCAATGGTCAGAGCAATATCTCCAGTCCTCGCACATACAGCAGCAGCTACAAGACGGTTTGCATTCCTCCTCACTTTGTAGGCAGGAGCTGGAAAGCTTGCAAGACTGTAACCCCATGGGAGTGCCTGCCTGCCTGTTAAAACACACAGAGACACCGAGAGATGAGATATTGGAGGAAATCACTCTCTAGAAAAATGGTCTCCTTTTCAAGTCCAGAACTGGAATTGAGGATGTATATAAAAAGGAATTCTGTGGAGACAAAGATGTTGATAATTGGCTGTCAGCCTGTCCTGAGCACTGTACAAGCTACATGCTATTTCGAGTCACGTCCAAAGTTCCTGCCGCATGCACTGTTGTGTGTGTGTGTGTGTGTGTGTGTGTGTGTGTGTGTGTGTAGGAGAGAAAGAGCAAGAGAGAGAAAACAGTTTGGCCAACTTTTGGATATAATGCTTGATGTCACGCTTTATCCCCTGGGGCTTTACTCCAGTCTGTGCCATCATCTGTGACGTTCATAAGACAAGGGATGAAGTCTAACCTTCAAAACACCATGACAACCTCAAATGTCACTACAGAGAAGTTTTCTGTTTTCTGAAAAATCAAAAATGTCCATAACTAATAACAAGCATTTCTTTTTTTCCTGCTGGGAGTATGAAATTATAAAAAACAAGCCCTTTGTTAGGCTTACTTGTCATGGGGCCTACAAGACAGATTCTAATAAACAAGGATAATGACCAATGCACTACGAATGAGGAAACAATTAGTGATTAGAAATATAACATTGGTCACACTAAGGAAGAAAAACATTTTTTTTGCATTGTTTTAAAATTAGAACTCTGTTTCTAGCAAATAGAAAGAGAGAAAACTCAAAGCTGATCCCTTATTTCTCAAGAGATTGCCACAGCAGAGGGATCCACATGTTTGCTTTGGCACAGATTTAGCACCAGATGCCTTTCCTGACACAACCCTCCTATTTATCCATCCTTGGGGCCAAAAAAAATGAGTACAGTAGCTTGTGACAACCCTGAGGCAAGGACTGCATCTTCTCCTGATCTCAAACTGAGGTTCTTTCACATGTAAGGCTCTGCTGCTATACACAATGGGGTCACTTACATCTTACAATGCTGTGATTGCAGACATTCCCCAACTATCTATGAATGGTACTCATGGCCATTGATCAAAGATCACTGATCTTTGATCAATGGCCATGACCTCCCAGCCCATTGTTCATTCAGTGGGCTAGTTTCAGTTTTTGTGCAAATGTACTGTTTATAAGGTTGGGGAAACCTGCAGTCAGCTGAGACTGAAGAAGTCACTTGGATACGTGATGAAACATTTCTCCCACTGAAAACGCTACGCCCAGATGAACAGAATCAACCTTTTGGGATTTACTTACCTGGATGACTGAGCATGCACCAAGACAATGGGGTCACTACTTTTGCATTTACTAAATAAGATGTTTTAAAAGTAAGGAATGCACAAACGTATCATTTAGATATGAAAAAGAGAGAGATAGAGACGAGAGAGAGCAGGAGAGAGACACTTATTTGCACAGTGAAGGTTGATAAAATCAGAGCTCCTCTGTGTCACACTGATAACACCCGATGAGCATTACAACAATCAAGAGTCAATCACATTAATGTCAAAACACAGTGAAGCAAATCATTTGTGCAATTTTGAAAAGTGCAGTTTATGTTGCTGTTCAGTTGTGTTGCATTAAGAATTAAAGAAGCCTTTTTTTAAATATTTTGAATTACATGTCCATGTATTTCATTCATTCATCAAATGCCTCCCATCTGGTCATTTTGGATTTGCCCGAGTATTTTCCAGGGGAAAGGCGGGCTTCTAATAATAATTATGTTAAAATTCAGGTGGCTGCTGTCATTAGTTTACTCAAGGAAACTATTTAATGAAATCACAGCAGGGTTGTTTTTAGATGGGATTTTTTGTAGCTTTATTTAGAAAACTACTTGAGCTAGGTGCTTCAATTTTTTAGGGTACATATCTGTACTATCACTCTTTGAATATAGACTGTCAGGAATATAGCTCAAGGTAACATAGAATGATGGATGCTTGATGTTTCTGAAATATTCGATTTACAGTCTCTGAAAACAGATTTGGAGGCTTGTAGCTTTTTCTAAGTAGGGGACTTATACTTTATATACAGCTTCTTATACAAAATGTACATAATATTCTTTAAAAAAGTCAAAATCAGATGAATGATTTCACAGATATTAAAACTTGAATATGAAGAAATCCCTGCCCTGAACAATAGGCCATGCAGAAAAATCCAGTATGCAACGTAGGAATTATCATAACAAAGCCAGATACGCAATTCCCGACTTTCTGTAAAAAAGAAAATTGTGCGAGTTGTTCCTCAAGCTATTAGCTAATAATCGCCTTTTTAACAGAGCTTCACCTTTGAAAATGTCTTTTGCTCTTCTTAATATCAAATCATTCTGGTTTTCACGACTCCTTCTTTCACTGATAATTGGAAATACACACTCAAATTGTACAAAAATGAAATGTCTCAGCATTAAGTTACCCACAATAACTTAAAACATAATTTTGCACCCTTTGTGTTCAGCAGTCAAAAGAAAAAGCCTTAATTACCTTGTTTGCAAAAACACACTTCTTTCACAAATGCAGTAAAAATGTTTTAAAACTCACCAAAACCTCGGGTTAATTTTAATTCAGTCCTGGACAGTTTCCTCCACCTATCACCCATTTGTGTTTGTACTTGGAGCCATTATTAAACTGAACTTAAAACATTTGGTCCAAACTAAGAATTCCAGCATTCTGTGGTACCTTAAAAGTGAAATTTAATGATTTTAACTAAAATACTAAATGTTATCAGTATTTTTACCAGAAGCTCAAATGTGTAATTTATCCATTGATATATGAAAAACTATTCAGAAAAGTCTGATTGTATACACATCAGACTTAAACATTCATCTGAGATTTTGGACTGGCATAGAACGCTAACAACATCATCATCAAAACACCAAATGAGGAAAAAGGCAATGCTAAAAATTAAATTAGAGACCACTCAATCTTCACAGTGTAACACAAACTTTGTTAAAAAAAAAAAATCAGTGATATCAGTTTATCCAGTTAGGAAGGGTTAAGAATTGTGAATGCATTTCAGCTGCTGTGAAAATAGGTGCAATGGAGAGGCAACAACAAGACAGCCCCCCCAAAATGACATGGTATTTGCAGTTAATTCAGCCTGCACAGGTAGTGCAGCTTGTCCAGGTTGGCAAATCCATATTTACCATTGCAACATGGTTTGCTTTCTCTCCCAGCGCAGTATTAAAATTCTAGAGGAGGGCAAGCAGAGTTGTAGAGGGGCATCAACCCAGTTGAACAAGAAGGGACAGGAGGAGCACTATCTTTATGTTTCTGATCAAATGATGAAGATCAACAGCAAAAGTGGCAGATCCCCTACTGATGTACTATTCTCTTCACAGATGAAAGCAGGTTAAAAGTGTGTTCCTGTGACAAGCGTGAAAGGGTTTGGAGATGCCATGGCTACTTACAACATCAGGGGCAGTGGGTCAGTGATGGTCTGAGCCCTGTGCCGTATGCTTAGAGAATTACACAGACTTCTGCATGGTAGCCACCGGTACCCTGACTGGTATACAGGTACAGGGATGAAACCCTCAAATTCATAGTAAGACCTTATGCTGGTTCAGTGGCACCTGGGTTTCTCTTGGTGTAGAAAAATACCCAACCTCATATGAACAGAGTGTGTGGCAGTTTCTGCATGACAAGATCTGAGACCTTTGTGATATGTATTGGTGCATTCTCCACCAGTTGTGGAGCTTACTGATATTAGACTGAAGTCTTGGAGGGAATCCCACAGGACACCATACATTGTCTCCTCAGGACCATTCTCAGTGGCTCTCAGCAGTGCATACAGGCTAGTGGGTCCATACGCATTACTGAGAAACTTTATTTGACCGGTTAGATCAGTCTGTGATTTAAATTTTCAACTTTGATTTTTCGTATGATTTCGAATCAAGTCCTCAAAGAGTTGGCGATTTTAGTTCCCACTGACCATATCATTTTCCTCTCAAACTACACAATCAGTAAAGGATTTCAACTTTTTTCGTTTGCAGCAGTGCATTTGCTCAGCACACTACCGCAGTCTACAGAAAATTAATACTATATCAGTCAATTCATCAAAGTTAGAATAGCTTTCTCTCAGTTTGTCCTACCACATTTAATTTGAACAAATCCTCAAGGCTCTTAAAATTAATCATTTCCCTCCTAAAACATTGACTCTTTGATTAAATATTCTCAATAGGTAACATATCGCCTTTATATTTTTACTTACACATTATACCCTCTTAGGAGCTACGCTCATCACGGTTAATCAAGGACAACGAACAGACTACATCTGTTCACAGGGTGAATCTCCTGACATTTTATTATTTGCCTTCCTTCTCCTCTGTCATTCTGTCTCCTTTTCTCTCTCTCTTTTTTAGACGCACACACATTCTTGTTCCCTATAACACAAATGTCAGCAGGCTGAGTCTGACAAGTGAACGACAGTGAAGTAGATTTGACCTTGAACGCTCTGAGAATGAAGTGACAGTAATAAAAGGCTGTAGTGAGCTATTGTTGGCCCTGGGGCATCCATTAATGAATGACATGAAACAGCCGTGAGATTCGGGGACAGGAAGGGGTGGTGGAATGATGGAGGACAGATGACAGCAACCCACACACGGTCCTCACCTGTGATGAGCTCAGCTAGCACCCTGCACAAGGTTCACACTTGCTGATGTGCATGCAAGCGCACAAGCAGTTGGGTGTTAAGAGCACACAGCCACCCTCCAACATGTGCCGCATTCTGTCAAAAGGATGTTTACTGTAGAATAAATCACCAGCTATTTCAATATATTATTCATGTTCTAAGCAGACCCCTCTGCACCCGAGGGTAACTTATTTTTTTCTGCTCTCACTCATGCCTTGGATCATACATAGATACAAACCCAACTGAAAATGTAACATATTTGCCATATCATCCTGAATGTGGAAATAAGGGATCCAAGGATCTTATATTCAAAACTCTCCAAGCGTAACAATAGTTAGAGTTCCTAATATCTTGAGTTGTTCTTTTTTTATCAGCAT